GCAGGCGCTTTTGCCGCTGAGCTAAATCCCCAGCCCCTCCTTGTTGTTTTTAAGAGATCCCTCCTTTCACGTTCATTAGTGGCAGTGCTATCTTCAAGGGCTAAATGGCTATCTTCAGCTTCATTCAGGCAGTTTTGCCAGCTTTCAATGGAATTTTAATTTCCTGGATATCTGTTTGCATCTGTTTCATACCTTCTAGTTCTTTTCTATATTGTTCCCTGAAGGTTTCATTGAGTTGTCTATGCTCTTCTATTTTCTTGTCTATGTCATCTTTGTATGTGTTGAACATTTCTTTCATTATTGTTGTCATTTCTTTTCTTACCTGAGACATTGTTTCTGATCTGATGTTCTATGGCCTGATGGAGTTGTTTCTTTACTTCAGTTGCTATCATTTCAGAAATTTCAGGTGTATGACTTCCAGGCTTTTCTGCGTTGATGTCTCCTAGACTTGTTTTGGGTGGTGTGGAGGTCTGGGGTTGTGTTTTTCTCCTGTGTTTTGTCATATTTGAAGACCCAGAGGCTCCTTGGAGCACAGCCTCACTCTCCTGATTGTGTGTGAGTGGCAGGGTGAGTGTCTGAAGGTCCCCAGTGTTCAGTGCAGCTCCTGTGCTGGTGAGTGTTGGCAAGATGGGGTCCCAAATGCTCCCAACCTGTTGCATTGTGGGCTCCCAGGCCTGTGTGGGAAGGGCAGAGGAGGCTCGCCAGAGTTCCTGAGACTGTCTGAGGTTTGGTCCAGTTTCCACAAGAGTAGAGGAGATGCAGGTCATGTTCACTGAGGCTTCAGATATTGCCCAGGACAGACCCTGCTTCCCACACTGGAACTGGAGGGGTGAGGGTGGACTCCCGAGGCCGCTGACTCTCTCCAGGTTTCAGCTGAGCTCCTGGGGGGGGGGGGGATTTGTTCTAGCAGTGACCACTAAGGCCCCAGGGAAAGACTTTATGAACAAAATCCTAGGTGTACAGGAACTATCATAAAGAATCAACAACTGGGATTTCATCTTATTGAAAATATTTTGCACAGCAAGAGAAACCACCAACAGAGTAAAGAGACAACTCACAGTGCAAGGAAAAAATGTTTAACTGCTATTCCTCAAAGGATTACCATCTAGAATACACAAAGAACTCAAAAATATCAGAACCCCCAAATTCAAAGACCCAATCCAAAAATGGGCATCTGAGATGAATACACACTTCTTGGATGAAGAAGTACAAATGCAAATAAATATATGAAAAAAATGTTCAACATCACTGGTCATTTGAGAAATGCAAATTAAAACAATGCTGAGATTCCATCTCACCCCAGAAAGAATGGCTATTAATAAGAAATCATGGGCTGGGGATTTAGCTCCGCAGCAAAGTGCCTGCCTGGCAAGCACAAGGTCGTGAGTTCGATTCCCGGTACCGGAAGAAAAACTAAAAAAAAAAAAAAAAAAAAAAAAAAAAAGAAATCAACCAATAAATGCTGGTGGGGCTCTGGGGAAAAAGGAACACTTTTCCACTGTTGGTGGGAGTGTAGACTGGTGCAACTACTGTGAAAATCAGTGTGGAGACTCCTCAAAAAACTAGGACTAGCCAGGCATGGTGGTGCAGGCCTGTAATCCCAGCACTCAGGAGGCTGAGGCAGGAGGATTGTTGTGAGTTCAAGACCAGCCTGGGCTACAAAGTGAGCTCAAGGCCAGCCTGAACTGCATAGCGAGACCCTGTCTCAAAAAGACAAAAAAAAACACAAAGCAAAACAAAAAAAAAAGTAGGACTAAAGGTTCCATTTGATCCAGCTATTCCTCTTCTTGGTGTCTTCCTGAAAGAATTAAAAGCATAATACCATTGTGATATATGCACACCCATGTTTATAGTGGCACAGTTTGTAGTAGCCAAATCTTTGAACCAGCCCAAATGCCCATCAATTCATTAATGGATAAAGAAAATATAGTTTTCTCATACAATGGAGTACTACTCTGCCATAAAGAAGGATAAGCTTGAGACATTTCTAGGTAAATGGATGCACCTTGAGACCATACTCTTTTTTCTTTTTTTTCTTTTTCTGGTACCGGGAATTGAACTCATGACCTTGTGCTTGCCAGGCAGATGCTGTGCCGCTGAGCTAAATCCCCAGCCCCTTGAGACCATACTCTTAAGTGAAATAAATTAGACACACATGTGTAAGTACCGCATGGTTTCTGTGGTGTGAGAAACCAAAAGTGTAATAAGGAGGCAGTGCAGAGGATGAGAACACCGCAGAGCTGTGGCTGGAGGTGCATCTGAAGAAGGTGAGTCACAGTCCATGCAGATTTTGACTCCTTGGAAGATGCTTTCTGTCCTTGTTTCATGCTTTGGGTGTGGAAGAGGTGCTGGGAATGACACCCAGGGCCTGGCGTGTGTGACACGAGTGCTGCATCACAGGCTAGAAGCCAGGGAGCACTGACCTTGGAGCCCGACGGCCACGTGCTGCCCTGAACTCTTCAATTTATTTACCTTTTAAGTTTCAAAATATTTACTGAAAAACATGACATTCCTATACCAAACTCTTAATTTTCAAGTGGGCTTTTACTGTTTTTTTTCTTATTAATTGGTGCGAGTCCTTTAAGGACAAAAGAGATCAGTTATACAATAGAGTTAAGGTCATTCAACAGAGAGATTGATTTTGTTGGTAAAAACCAAAGTTTGAAAATCACTGCCCAGCTGCTTCACAACATTGCTGTTAAGCCTTGCCCCCTCCTCACTCCTTTGGAAATCTCTGCAGTAAGAGCCCCAGCCAGAAGCCCTTGCTTGATTGCTTGAAACTTTAGGCCTGTTTCTCAGCCGTGGGACTGTTGACATTTCGGCTGGGACTCCTTCTGAGGCTCGGCTGTCACCTTCCACTGCTGCAGTCTGGCCTCGACTGTGCATACTGGGCACCGCTGGGCACCCTTCCTCCAGGCACAACCATCAGAAGTATCTCTGAGTTCTCAAGTGTGCCCTGGGCTTGGGAGCACAAAACCACTCCAGTTGAGAGCCACTGGTCTAGGTCTACTCAGCGCAGATGAAAGACAGGCTGTGTTACTTGCCGACTTTGGAAGTCCCATGCGACTATGCAAATGGTGCATTGCAGACGGAAAGCACACTTGTCTTCTCTCCTAGTCAGAAGCACAAAATAACACTCATCACATCATGAAGGAATAGCATCTACACACTTGTGGATATACCTAGAATTTTCCTTTTTTTGGTGGGGTGCTGAAGATCAAGGATCAAACGCAGGGTCTTGCACTTGGTCTACTGCAATAGCAAGGACAAGTGGTCTACTGCAATAGCAAGCAGAAACACCAAAATGACATCCAAGATTTGGAGGCAGATTTATTTACGTCGCAGGGCAGTGTCAGGATCACTCTCAGAATATCAGGCCCTGATCTCTGGTGGTCTAGGGCTTACATGGGATAAGCAAGCAAGAAGTAGAGGGAGAATGGCTTGTCAACTGGGGATTGGTTTATACAATGTGCATCACAGTGACCAGCTGTTTCTAAGAGACAGGAGCAACCTGAACTGGAACAGGAACTATTACCTGGGCAGCTAAGAAACTCAAGTACACTGGCTGGGCAGGGGGCATTTTTTGCTACACTACCACTGATTTACAACTCCATCCCAACTGTTAGGGCTTCTGTCTAGATGTCCCCCCAAAGCCTCATGCAGCCATAGGTGGGGCTTTTTCAGAGGTGGCTGATCTAGAGTGTGTGACACTGGGATTGATTCACGGGGCAATGCTAGGCTCAAGGGCACTGGGATTAAGGGTGTGAGTGTTACTTGCCCTGTGTAGCCTGGTAAGATACAAGGGACAGAAGGAGCTGTGGTCGTCGCTTGCTTGTCCCTTTGCTACCTTCCGCCCACCATGAACTGCTCTCCTCTGCAATGCCTGTGTGCTGTGCCACCCTTCCTCAGGGTCAGCCAATTATGGACTGAATCCCATACAAACTGTGAATGAAATAAACCTTTCTTTCTTTACCTTTGGGTGTCGGGTATTTTGTCCCAGCAATGAGAAAGAAGGAACTAAGACAGAATTTGGTACCAGAGAATTGGGGTTGTTGCTGTGACTCTACCTGACCCTGTGATTTAGGAGCCTTTGGATCTGGCTTGTAGGAAGGGGAAGAGCTAGGTAAGGCTTGGAGATGCCAGCTGAGAAAGCAGAGCTGGAACTCCTGAGGCTGTGCTTTCTGGGAGATTCTGGTCAGAGCTCAGAAGATCAGAAAGACAGTAAAGACCAAGCTTGGGAGGTTTCTGCCAGGAAGAGGACTGCATTGGCTGTTGGATTTCAGAGGGTGTGTGTTGTGCCTTAGCACAAAGTTTGTCTGCATTTTGTTCCTGTCCAGAGTCTTTGTCTGATGCAGAGATTGAAGGTGGCAGACTAAATTAAAGATTAAAGGTGGCACTTGACATCTACAGCTAAGAGAGAAATCCTGGCTACTGCTCCAGCTGGAAGCAGATGTTGGCATCATCCATGTGGTGTTGGCTTTAAGTGCATTCAGAATGCAAGAGTTGTAGGGTCAGGAATGCTTCCACCCAGATTTCAGAAGGCCTGGGAGACCAGGCAGTGTGCCCCTGACAGGGTGGTATGTGAAGCTGTGAGTGTGAAGCAAAAGGTGCAGTAGAGACCCCAGAAGGTTGGAGAAGCCAGGAACATGGATTGTCTGAGGAAAACCACGAGGGAGCAGAGCAGGCCCCAGATGGAAGCCAAGAGAGCTGCAACTGCTGGCAGTGCCCTTTGGAGCTCACAACTTGCCACAGATTGCTGGGGATGCTGGAAGTGGACCTGTGGGATTTAATGTTTGCCCTGCTGGGTTTGGTCTTGCTTTGTTCCCATTCCTTCCTATCCCATTGTACCTTTTGGAGTAGAAACATCTATCTTGTGCCATTGACAGGAGTGTTTAACTTTCTTTTCATTTGTAGAGGGGCTCACAGGTAAGCATTTTTCTTAAATTTCAGAAGACCTTAGACTTGGATTCTTCAGCAATGCTGAAACTGTTAGGATTTTGGCAACTCTTAGCGATGGATGTTTCGTAGAGGAATGTGCATGAGTCTTTGGGGGGCAGAGGTGGAATGTTATGGTTTGTGTCTAGATGTCCCCCCCCAAAGCCTCATCCAGTCATGGGTGTGGCTTTTTCAGAGGTGGCTGGATTCTGGAATTCTGTGTGATTCTCAGGTCGATTCATGGTATAATGCTAGGCTCAAGGGCGCTAGATTTAAAGGCATGAGTGCTGCCTGCCCTAAGTAAGCTGTAAGGAACAGAGTTGTCCCCTCTTCTGCTGAGGCCCTTGCTTGCTTTGCCACCCTGTGCTCCCCATGAGTGGTTTCTCCTCTGCAGTGCCTGTCTGCAATTTCCTCAGCAATTTCAGTTATGGACTGAAACCTCTACAAACTGTGAGCTAAATAACCCTTTCCTGTAACATGTGGGGGTCAGTTATTTTGTCTCAGTGAGAAAAGTAAGACACTAACCTAGGAACTTTTTCTTTTTTTTGGTCTTTTTGAGACAGGGTCTCACTATGCACTTCAGGCTGGGCTTGAGCTCACTTTGTAGCCCAGGCTGGTCTCAAACTCGCAATGATCCTCCTGCCTCAGCCTCCTGAGTGCTGGGATTGCAGGCGTGTACCACCATTTCTGGTTACTTTTACATTTTTTTTCCTTTTTGTAGGACTGGTGATTGAATTCAGAGCCTTTGCACTGTGCTATATTCTTCAAACCCTTTTTTATTTTTTAAGAGAGTTGTGGGAATTTGTCCAGGTGGGCTCAAACTTGTGATCTTCCTGCCTCAGCTTCCCAGAATGTTGGGTTTAAAGGCGTGAGCCACAGTGCCTTTCTCTAGCCTAGAAATTTTAAAACTAATAGGTGTTAGGCATGAAAGTTAACCTACTCCTTAGGCTCCATGGGGTAGGACAGCCCAGGGCCTACCCCTCAGCTTGTTTTCAAAAACTGATTAAGAAGTTGGGGGTATGGCTCTGTGGTACAGTGCTTGGCCCACATCTGTGAGGCCCTGGGTCCCATCCCTACCACACACACACACACACACACACACACACACACACACGGTTGACGAAGTGGGGTTAATGTAATTTATAACATGCTGACTAAGGAGCAGGAACATTCATCGGGGGCAGAAGCACAGGCAAAAGGAAAACAAATGTGGCAGGTGTGTATCTTCTAAGAAGTGCTCAAGGGTTGCTCTGTGTTGCACACGTGGGGGTCTCTACTGCACACAGATAGTGCAATGCTGCACATGCTGTCCTGCATCTGGCACCACACCGCACCGCTTCATCATGTGTTTTAGAGTGTGTCCGCATTCCAAAACATTTCTACACTGTGAAAAGTACAATTTAGAGTATACCAATGCTAAACACGACTACAAGAGGGTCAAGGGCAATTTTGGCTGGGGTCTGAAAAATGAGCTTGAACTTACAAGCTCTGAGGACTGGGCTTGACTAAAGATTCAGCTAGGGAGAGCTCAATCACTTAGGGGCCAGAAATCGAATTGGGAAGTTTTGTTTTTTCCTAAACTCAATTTCTGTGTTTCTGTGTTTAGCCTACCTTTATGTACACCACATCTGTGACCTTTCAGCAAACTAAGAATCACTGAACACATAGCATTTCTTCAAACTCAAGCACCACAAATATGGTTGTTGTAAAAAGTATTCTTTTTGTCTTTTTTTTAAAGACAGGGTTTCACTATGTAGTTCAGGCTGGTCTTGAGCTCACTGTGTAGCCCAGGCTGGCCTGGAACTCATGGCGATCCTCCTGCCTCAGCTTACCCCCGTGCTGGGATTACAGGTGTGCGCCACCACACTTGGCTGACAATCATTTTTAGAAATGAAAAGAAAGCTGCCTGTAATCCCAGCACTCAGCAGCATCATGGGGGGTTTGAGGCCAGCCACAGTGACACAGCCAGACCAACCAATGAGCCAAACAGACAAAAAAGTACATTTGTAAGGGCGGACTCTGTTTGAGGTGAAACACTTTTTGGCTATCGATGGGACTTCAGAGATACATTTCCAACTCCTTCTTTTCTTAGGAACATGAAGAGAGTTTAAGTTGCTTGTCTAAGGTGACCCAGGAAAACAGTGTGGTCTAGTCAGGACCCATGTTGAAGGGGACAGGCTGCCTTCAACTCAGAGGGGCCTGTACCAGGTAAAAATGCTGCACTTCAAGTATTCACCTCACCGAGAAACCGACGTGTAATACGGTCCTCACTTAAGGCTAGAGATGGAGAGATCCAGAGCATCGGGGTCTGAGCACGGAGGGGCTTCCACATCACGGAAGAGACTGAGGTCTCCCAGCTACTATGTGTCGCTCACTTTACATCTCATTGTCTCATTTTGTTCTCACCATAACCCTGCAAGACAGACATCATCACTTTAATTATTTTTGGATTTATTTAAGAGTTTCTTACAAGCTGGCCTTGAGCTCATTATTGTAACCCAGGCTGGCCTCATGAGGCTCCTGCCTCAGCCTCCCAGTGCTGGCATTATGGGCGTGTGCCACCCAGCCCAGAATATTCTTAGCATTCTACAGAGGGGAAAAATTGCCACATGTGGAGGTACACATCTCTAATCTCAGCACTCTGGGAGGCCGAGGTAGGAAGATCACAAACTGAAATCCAGCTTGAGTAATTTAGCAATTTAGGAAAGAAAAAAGTCTGGAAATGCAGCTTAGGGAAAATGCCTTGGGTTCAAACCTCAGTATGGGGGGTGAGGGGAAAGCAGGGCTAAGAGGCAGAAAAGTTCAATAGCTGGGTACAGCGGCGCACACCTGTAATCCCAGCACTTGGGAGGCTGAGGCAGTGGGATTGCCTGGAGCTCGAGGCCAGCCTGGGCTACCTAGTTGAAGGCCAGCCTGAATTACAGAGCGAGACCCTGTCTCAAAAAACAAAATGAAACAAAACAAGCTCAATAACTTGCTCAATAAAGAAGGGCTGCACCTCCAACTTCAAAGGAACCCCGCTGTGACGGCAGGGCAGTCCTGTTCTCTCAGGGCTCGCAGTTACCCCCGACCCTGCGCTCATCGCACGCGCTCGGAAACCTGCGGCAGGCGTCCGCTCCCCACGCCGAGCCGAGGTCCCTGGCGACGCCGGTCCGCCCGCCCGCTCCGCTTCCCGGCCGCGCGCACCGCGCTCC